GCCGACATACCAAATTCCACAGGATAGATATGTCGTTCCCAATGTTCTCCCTTCCGAAATCCAACACACCATTTCACCAGTAAAGAAACGAACAGCACCGGCCCAGACAAGGTCAGACCTGAACACCTGAAGAACCTGCCATCAGTACTCATCAATACGCAGGCTCGTCTCTTCACACACTACCTGTCCGAATGCAAGGTTCCGTCCCAAAGGAAAACCAGTAGGACTGTACTACTGTACAAGAAGGGAGACATTCATGACATTGGCAACTATCGCCCGATCTGCCTATTGTCTGTCATCTACAAGTTGTTCACTCGAGTCATCCTAAATAGGATTGGCAGAACACTAGATGAAGGACAACCATTCAAGCAAGCCGGGTTCCGCAAAGGATTCAGCACCATTGACCATATCCACATGATAACCAAGCTCATTGAGGTTTCTTGGGAGTTCAAGATGCTGCTCTGTCTAATGTTCATTGATTTAAAGAAGGCCTTTGATTCTGTTGAGATGGAATCGGTCATTGACGCCCTAGCCAATCAAGGCATTCAAACTCAATACATCAGGATCCTCTGTGAGCTGTATTACGAATTCACTACCAGGATCTCACCATTCTACAAAGAAGTAATCATCCATGTCAAGAGAGGGGTTCGGCAGGGTGATACCATTTCACCGAAACTCTTCAGTGCCACCCTCAAGAACATCATGCAATGACTGGAATGGGAAGGAATGGGAGTGAAGATAGATGGTCGGTAACTATGCCACCTCTGCTTTCTTGATGACATTGTTTTAATAACATCAAACATTAGCTAAGCGGCACAAATGCTGGCCGACTTCAACCGTGAGTGTGGAAAGGTAGGACTACAGCTGATTCTTATGAAGACAATGTTTATGAGAAACAGCCCCTCGTTCCTGACACCCCACTCGCTCTCAACGGAACGACCATCTCCGAATGCAAAGGCTATGTGTACCTAGGTCGAGAAGTCAACATGACAAATGACCTGGCACCCGAGCTGCGCAGGAGGAAGAGAGCGGCTTGGAACGCCTTCAAGAACGTTGAAGAAATAGCTAAGAGGATGAAGAACCTCCGGCTCCAGGCACATCTCTTTGATTCCACTGTTCTTCCTGCATTAACATATGCCTCAGAGACCTGGGCCCTACGCAAACAGGATGAGAACACTATTTGGGTCTCCCAAAGAGGAATCGAAAGAGCTATGCTTGGAATATCACGTTTCACTCAAATGAGAGAAAGAATCCGGAGCTTCGTTGACAATCAAGAATCAGGGATGCTGTCTCATTTGCCAAGGCATCAAAAATCAGATGGGCTGGTCACGTAATGACATTTAGAGACGACTGCTGAACTAGAGCTGTTACTGACTGGATTCCACGGGATGTCAAAAGACCGCATGGCCGCCCACCTACCAGATGGTCAGACTTCTTCATCAGACCCTGAATGATCGGTTTGAGGCTCTGCATGTTCCTAGAATAAACAGACGCCATTGGGCTACACTAGCTCGTGACAGGGACCAATGGAGATATTACTGGTGCCCACTCAAGCAAATCGATGATTAACGGGCAGTCAAGTGATCAAGTGAAGTGTATAAATTAAGCAAGGTGATCTATATTCAACTATGAAAAGTAAATAGTTCATTAATGGTTTAATAAGTTGGAGGTTTGTTTATTATTTATTAAATGTGTGACCTTTCTTGTGCATAAAATAGCATTATTATTAAATTATTCAACCCAGTAAACTAAATTGTCTTGAATAAATTCAAGAATTTTTTTAAGTTGACAAGTTAAGTGTATTTGTTTTTATATCCACATGGTTGTAAAAAAAATAAAACAGGGTTAATGGGCTCTTAGGTAAAATGTGTTCAAGCCTAGGGGTCACATTTTGAATATAACTTTATCATTCTATAGTTGTCTTATGTATTAAAAAAGAGACATTTGGGAGTTAATTAGCCTTTACAAACATAGGGAGGTACAGACAATTTCATAAAAGAAAGTAGCAACTTATTGAATAATTACTTTTCCAAAAATTGGCACTTCAGAGAAATACCCACAGGTGTAAACCTAGGCTAAAACCTAGAGAATAATAGGAAAGTCTAAGTATAAAAATTAATGATGAAAATGTGCTGAAGTTTTGTCAAAATGATAATTAATGCGTGATTGATTCATTCATTCCCTTAATATATATTAAGGGACTATGAGGTTTTAAAATTTTTCTTAGAAGTTCTTTTAGGGGCTGGAGTGATAGTATAGTGGGTAGGACGTTTGCATTGTTTGTGACCTACTAGGGTTCCATCTCAGAAATTCCATAGTGCTCTGAGCACTGCCAGGAGTAAATCCTGAGTGCAGAGTCAGGTGTAATCCCTGAGCATCATTGGGTGTGACCCCAAAGGACAAAAAAAAATTTCAAAGTTCTTTTAATCTTGAATGACTTACTTACTTTCTCAGAGTCTAAATTTCATACTAGAGGTACTTGCAGAGTTTCTGTGCAGCTAACTGACTTATTAGTCTCTAGCAGAGTGAGTCACTGGATGGATGTTCAGTGAATTCTTTTCTCCTTAGAACTTGAATCTATTTCTTTCGGTTGTGACATGTACTCAATTAGTCTGTGAAGGCCCTAGATTCACTCCCAGTCATACTGGTTCCACTTGTGTGGCTAGAGAGTTTGATAGTTGGATTGAGTGATGTGTTTCTTCTGAGCCCCAGTAGTACTGGGGACCACTCGCTGTAGTTCTCGGGTTGGTGGTGCATCTTGCGATGCCCGAGAGGGACTCTGCCTATTGCAGCAGGCATGCATTACTGTACTTTGATCTATCTCTGCCTCTGCTAAATCTTTTGTTTTCTTTATATAAAACTTTACTACACATCTTCCTTTCATAAGATTATTATAAACTACATAAGTTCCATTTCTTAGTAGCAAAAATAAATCCTACCATTTGTTCAATTGAATTGTGACTGATCTATGTTTTCAGATTGAATTAATGTATTTAAATATTACAACTGATGGAATGAGACCCATTGTAGTTACTGGTTTGGGCATATCGAATACACAATGGATAGCTTGCCAGGCTCTTCCGTGCGGGTGGAATACTGATGGAATCATTTTTCAAGATGATTCAATAAGCTCAGGAAAGTTATTTTTTGCCAAATAGTGTTCTGAGTTTCCCTGACTGCACTGCACATAAATTTGCACTTTATTTTTCAGTTTTTTAGTTTCACAGCAAACACTAGTAGTGATTTTCTTTAATTTTTCAATCCTATTTAGAATTGTTTTCAGTATTGCTTACTCCTGCTGTTCATCAATTTGCTCGAGCAGGCCCAGTAACGTCTCCATTTTCTGTTTTGAGATTTGTTGTTACTGTGTTTGGCATATCGAATATGTCACGGGTAGCTTGTCAGGCTTTGCCGTGCAGGCGAGATACTCTCAGTAGCGTGCCGGGCTCTCTGAGAGGGGCGGAGGAATCGAACCCCGCTCAGCTGGGCTGGCCACGCACAAGGCAAAGGCCCTACCGCTGTGCTAGCGCTCCAGCCCATTGCTTACTAAATTATATAAATTTATTTTCTAAATATCAAATGTATATAAAATTACAGTAAACATCACTTAAGCACTACCAGCTATTTTATTAATAGACATAAGTGAAATAAAAATCAGTTAATGGAGTATTGTTTTAATAGTTAGCTTCTAACTTATCCTTCAAATATGGATTGAACTTTTTTTGTTTTTACTGTTTGGGCCACACCTAGCAGTACTCAGGCAATGCTCAGGCCTGGCTCTGTGCTCAGGGATTACTTCTGGAGGGGTATGGGGACCATTTGGGGTGTGGAGATTGAATCCAGGAAGGCTATGTGCAAGGCAGCTCCCGACCTAAGATACTACCACTCCAGTCTTGAATTTAATTTTTTTTAATCCCAAGATACATTTTTGTGGAACCGAGATAGGTATATCGTGAATTATTGCTTGATTATTTCTATCTATCATTTATGCAGCAATGCTGTTGGTTGCCTATTTTTGCCAGGAACTGTGATCTCAAAATGAAATTTTCTAATTGTGACATCAAGAAATTTTGTAATCCGAAAAATATGCAAATAAGTAAGTTTCTATAAGGTAATTGATACAAGAGAAAGTGATCCAAGAACAGTGAGGAAAGAAGGAACAAGGTCTAGCTACTTAAGAAGCTAAGGGGACTCCTGCCCACGGGGGGCAAGCTGAGACTAGAAGAGTTAGTGGGATGTTATCAAGTAGGAGAGTAGGAAGATAATATTTGGCAGCAAGACATGAAGAAGAAAAGCATGGAGGCTTGAAGGAGCCTGAAGTGATCACATAAGTCTATAATAGAGTCAGTTACATAGTTAAAGTAGGAATTCCTCTGAAAAGGGGGGAGCACCAAGGGCTGCTTAAAAATGAGGCCAAATATGTAAAGATAGAGAAGATGAGAGAAACCTATACAGCTGGAAAGGTAAGCCAGTATGTTCCTTTCCGTGGGTTGTAGAAGAAGGTATTGAAGAATTTTCAGTACAGAAGTTTCATAATCAAATGGGTATGTTCTAATTCTTAAAACAGACTAACAGTTCTTGAACCTGCTGTTTACAATTTACAGAAGTGGCACACATACCCCTTTGTTCCTAGGGGTTTCAATGGTTCTCTTTGTAAAAGAGTTTAGGGATGCCAAAAGAAATATCTGATCTAAATGATATATCAGATTTATAATAAGAGCTTGTGAACATATTTTAAGTTAACAGGTTTTTTAATAGACTGTGATGCAATTCTTTATAGAGAAGATTTAATTATAAGAGATAGACTGTTTCTAATGAAAGTTTGGCTGGGTGCGTTTTCCTTCTTCAATGAATAGGATTACACGGTTGAAATTATTGAGGAAAAGTGCGTATACATACACTTAGAAAAACTTTGCACTCATTTTGTCTCTTGCAAAAAAAGCAGCGAGTTTGTAAAAAATAAATTTCACTTAACTTGAGTATAATTTTTATAATTGCAGGGGTTAAACATCTGAAAGGCCAGAATGAATCAACATTTCCTGAAGAAGAAGAAGGAGTAAACGAAAGAGATGAGCATTGGGACCATTAATTTCGGGTCTGCAGCAAGAAAGCTTCCTGGGAATAACTGAACTATTAACTTTTCTGAATCTCCCATGAAGCATCACTGCTCAACTTCCAGAAGCTTTCTACAATTCTGCTCTACACACACACCACCCACACACACTCACAAACACACACACAGAGTAGTATTGCACCTCTGGGAAGACATCATTGATTGAACTTTAGAACTAAGTACAAATTGATCCATATTACCTTTAAGGAACGAACAAGCATTTATTTTCCAGTGTTGTTTTTCTTTTTAATAATGTAGACATTTTGCAAATATAAGTGTTCCTACTTTAATACTGCCAAGCTTAAACTCTGATATCCTACTGTTGGTTTGCGTTCTGAGATCAAGTTTAAATAAAATCACTTTAAAAGTGAAAAATAAATACATTTAGTCATGAGTGTCTGTATGGCTTTAACTTACAGAATAATATCTAATGGAACTTTTAAGTTAAGATCCACTTTACCATGCATCTCTCTGTAGAGCAGGACATAGTGTTGCTTTCATGACAACAAAATATCCAATTCCTTGACGAATATGGCCAGAACACATTAATGTTTAGACAATAATCATCTTTTTTTTCAACAAAATATTTAATTGATTACTTAAGGACCAAAGAATCTTCTTCATTTTCTTGTTGAGAGGCATATTTGCTGGTAATTTCTTTAGCTATTAAAAAGAAAAAGTTTAATCTGAAATAAAATATGCCAAATCTCTTCTCTTCTACTATTCAATTACTATTTGAAATAGCAGCTATTTCCTATTTAATTTTAATAACTCATTAGCACTTTATACAATTTCTATTATAAAAGGTAAAAGGTAAAAGGCCCTCCCGTTGATCGTCGATTTGCTCGAGCAGGCCCAGTAACGTCTCCATTGGAGACTTTGTTGTTACTGTGTCTGGCATATCGAATACTCTCGGTAGCTTGCCGGGCTCTCCAAAAAGGGCGGAGGAATCGAACTCGGGTCGGCCATGTTGGCCGCTTGTAAGGCGAACGCCCTACCCGCTGTGCTATCGCTCCAGCCCTTAGAAATCCTGTTAGTTCATGTAGTCATTCATTCATTCAGAAATTATTTTTCAGTTGCTTAACTCTAGGAAGATACTTTATTTTATAAATATTTTTTATTTAAGAACTTTGACATGCATAGTTGTTTTCAGTAGGTTCATGGGCATATAATATTTCCTTCCAGTCCCACCACCCTTTGTCTGCCATTCATTCATTCACTGCATTTATACTAGATTCCCTCCCATCTACCCCAGCCTTATACACCGACAGTTAAAGTTTTAGTGTGATTGTTGTAGTGTGGTTCCCATTCTTAAAGTAACATTGGATATTAAGTGGTTTCTACATCTGCAGATACTTTATCTCTATGCCACAATGGATCCCAAACTTCATGACCCTATGCTACTTCCAGATCTTGTCTTCTTTCTTCTACGCTGGGCAGGCACTTTCTTGGGATATATGGAAGTAAAGAAAATATAACTTTTACACTACAGAAATATCCAAGAAATAAGGAATGAGTTTAAAGCAAGGTTTTCTAAAAAATATATGTTTATTGAATATTGCCTTTAGTCATTTAAAATTACTTCTTTGGTTATATTGATTTCTCATTATATTCCATTGTGAAATTTTTATATCACACAATTTAATGGGGATGCATGAAAACCCAATTTGTTTCCCACAACTATGGATGTTAATGAGGTTCAACTATTTCATGAATTTAAAAAAATGAGAATATTTCTTAAATTTAAGTTAAGAGAGAATGAAAACAGGGGAAGTTTCATGTATAAAATCCACTATGGAATCTTTAAATCTAGATTCACATAATTAAAAATTTTGTTCATTATGAATGCTAATTTTTATTTTATTTATTTGGGATGGCAGTGGATCACAGCTGGTAGTCTGTAGGGCTATTTCCAGCTTGTTCCTCAGGGGTCTTTGGTGATGGTGGAAGTCATGCAATGCTGGGGCACAGAACACAGCCTTCTCTGTATGTAAAACATGTGCTCCAGAACTCTGAGCTATTTTCCTCCCCAGCTGTAAATATAAATTTCATAAGACAGATTCAGGTAAACCGGTAAATTTAAAAGACAATGCAACAGAGGCAACAATTTTCCTTGCATGTTTTCCCCAAGAAAATAAATGCAAGCTTGAATAAGTAGTATCTTGTGTATGAGAGAATATGCTTCTCTTCTAACTCCTCTGTCTCTCTTCCTTCCCTCTTTGCTTTATTCCTTCCTTTCTCTTGGTTTTGTATCATCTCTTCCTTTTTCCCTTTCTCTCTCTGTCCTGCTTTTATTTTCTTTGTTAAAGCCTGTCTCACCACCAAATTTCAGGAGATTTTAGGCCACTTGTTATGGTTGTTTATTTCAGAAGCCCCTCCCTATACTTGATTAAAGCAAGTATTTAAATTATTTCTAATTATTTATGTTTGAAAAACATCCTGAAACCCCTTGAGATATTCTATGGTGCTAAAAATATAAACCTCAATAAAACAAAATGATAAAATTGTTTTTAATTTTCCTTGAACAGAACTTTTAAAATTTTATTTATATTTTAAATTTTTTATTTTCAAAGAGCTGTCCACAGTAATTGATTACATTCAATATTTCAACACCATTCCCACCGTCATTACACCTTCCTACCACCTTTATTTTGAGTTTACCCACCACCACCCAAGCCTGCCCCAAAGGTGGCACTGTAGCACTGTAGCACCGTCCTCCTGTTGTTCATCGATTTGCTCGAGCGGGTCCAGTTATGTCTCCATTGTTAGACTTGTTGTTACTATGTTTGGCATATCAAATGTGTCACGGGTAGCTTGCCAGGCTTTGCCATGCAGGAGAGATACTCTCGGTAGCTTTCTGGGCTCTCCGAGAGGGGCAGAGGAATCAAACCTGGGCCGACCGGGTCAGCTGCATGCAAGGCAAACACCTTACCCACTGTGCTATCGCTCCAGCCCCCCAAAGGCAGATATTCAATAATTTACTTTGTATTGCTGTTATGAATAATTGACTAAAAATGATCAAAAAAAGTTTCCTTAGAGAAAAGTGTGTGAAAACAGAACTTTTATAAAGTTTTTCTAAAGGACTCTTAGAAGGGCTAAAGAGACAACTCTGGCATTTGCCTTACTTATCCCTGGTGTTTCACTTCTGGAACCACATATAGTCCTATAATCCCTGAGCACAAAGCTAGGAGTAAACCCCAAGAACAGCCAAGTGAGACCCCCAAACATTTTTTTAAAGTACTCATAAACAAAAAGAAACAAAAACTTTGACTGGTTTTGTAACATCATCTGAATCACAGGTAACAAGATTTTGGAATACTCATACTCTGTTCTCCATTCTTAAAAACATAAATAAATCAAAATCCGAAGTATGTTTCCTTTAAGAAATGCTGATTTCTTCTGTTATCAACACTTAATACACAGGGATGACAATTAAAGGCTTAATTTTTCCTGGGGAAATGCATTTGCTATCTCAGAAATTTGAAGGAAACCACCTGAGAAAATGGCTTTTCCATTTCCTTTTAACACAATTACAGTTTACAACAAAATCCATTTCAAGAAAAGGATTGCCTAAGTAGCCTGAGTGGGCAGATAAACTTTGTGATAAAAGCAAATTAAACCAAAATAAAATCTTTGTTTTTACCAAACTGCATTTATAATTTATTTTTTATTTATTTATACATTTAGTTTTTTGCTTTTGGGTCACACCCGGCAATGCACAGATGTTACTCCTGGCTCTGCACTCAGAAATTACTCCTGGTGGTGCTCAGGGGACCATATAGGATGCTGGGAATCGAACCTGGGTTAGCAACGTGAAAGGCAAATTCCCTACCCGCTGTGCTATCGCTCCAGCCCCTGCATTTATAATTTAATAGTAGTTAGTAGATTGGTTTTGAGTCACATTGACTTTTTTTTACTTTTTTTTAATTAAATTTTTAAAAAAATTTAACTTAATTTAATTTTATAAAGTGGTTCACGATGGCTGGAGTGATAGCATAGCAGTTAGGTTGTTTGCCTTGCATGCAGCCAACCTGGTCGATCCGAGTTCGATTACTTCACCCCTCTCAGAGAAACCAGCAAGCGACCGAGAGTATCTCGCCTGCACGGCAAAGCCTGGCAAGATACCCGTGACTTATTCAACATGCCAAACACAGTAACAACAAAGTATCACACTGGAGATGTTACTGAGCTCGCTAGAGCAAATCAATGAACAACAGGAGGACCCTGCTACAGTGCTACAGTTCACAATATTTGATTACATTTAATATTCGAACTCCAGTCCCACCATCATTATATCTTCCCACCACCATATTTTGGATGTTTCCATCCTGAACCCCAACCCCTGCCCCAAAGCAGAACTGAAATAAGTTATTTTGTATTTTTTGTTATGAAAAACCACTGAAAATGCTGCAAAAGTTTCCTTAGAGAAAGGAGTGTGAAGATTTTTGTATTTCATCAAGGGCAATTAAGTCTTTCTATAAGAGATCACTAACATGTTGTTAAATGTTGGGCCTTGTGTGTGTGTATATATATATATATATATATATATATATATATATATATATATATAAAATATTTCCCTCTAAGATTGGTTGCCTCCTACTTTAAACCCCATCAAATGTGGTGTGGTACTCTTAAGTTATGAGTGGTATGAGGTATGAGTTAGTTGTATGAGATATGATAGCTTCAGTGCAGTAACAGGTTCACTCATGGATGAGGCTTGGCCCAAGGGTGTGGAGAGTGGATATGAGTATGGAAGAGAACGAGTTCTGGAGGTTTTTGGCTGCCAGGGCTGGGTCTCTTGGGGCATTGGGAGGTTTCACCCACCCTACTCTGGGACAGTCTGAGTGAAACAGCCTGTCACGCGACATGGTTATGACATGTGTCATGTTATACTCCCTTCCGGGAGAGAAAGACATGTGACTCTGGATCATGGCCAATGACAAGATTATCTGGCGCCAGCCAGAGGTGACTTATGGGCATGATTGCTGAGTTGCCAGAGACATGGGGACACATGGGTAGAGGATTCCAGTTCCCAGTTCCGTTGAGACTTTGTTCCACTTTTAACCTCTCCAATCTTAGAATCA